ACACACACACACACACACAACACACACACACACACACACACACACACAACACAACACACACACACACACACACACATGAAACACACAACACAACACAAAACAACACACACACACACACACACACACACACACACAACACACACACACACACACACACACACACAACACACACACACACAACACACACACACAACACACACACATGAGAAAGAAGAAGATCCAGTTTTTGTGTTAAAATCTGAAACGTTTGTCAAACTTGATCATTTTTCAAACATTTTCTTTATAAATCTTGAATCTTAAACATTAAACTCATGACCACATCCCCGTCTGCTCCTGTCTGCTCCTGTCTGCTCCTGTCTGCTCCTGTCTGCTCCTGTCTGCTCCTGTCAGTGTCTGCTCCTGTCTGCTCCTGTCTGCCCTGTCTGCTCCTGTCTGCTCCTGTCTGCTCCTGTCAGTGTCTGCTCCTGTCTGCTCCTGTCTGCTCCTGTCTGCTCCTGTCAGTGTCTGCTCCTGTCTGCTCCTGTCTGCTCCTGTCAGTGTCTGCTCCTGTCTGCTCCTGTCAGTGTCTGCTCCTGTCAGTTGTCTGCTCCTGTCAGTGTCTGCTCCTGTCTGCTCCTGGTCTGCTCTGTTCAGTCTGTCCTGTCTGCTCCTGTCAGTGTCTGTCTCCTGTCTGCTCCTGTCTTCCTGTCTGCTCCTGTGTCTGCTCCTGTCTGCTCAGTGTCTGCTCCTGTCTGCTCCTGTCTGCTCCTGTCAGTGTCTGCTCTGTCTGTCTGCTCCTGTCTGCTCCTGTCCTGTCAGTGTCTGCTCCTGTGTCTGTTGTCAGTGTCTCCTGTCTGTCTGCTCCTGTCTGCTCCTGTCTGCTCCTGTCAGTGTCTGCTCCTGTCAGTGTCTGCTCCTGTCTGTCCTGTTTGCTGTCTGTCAGTGTCTGCTCCTGTCTGTCTGCTCCTGTCTGTTGTCTGCTCCTGTCCTGTCTGCTGTCCAGTGTCTGCTCCTGTCTGCTCCTGTCTGCTCCTGTCAGTGTCTGCTAGTCCTGTCTGTCTGCTCCTGTCTGCTCCTGTCTGTCTGTGGATAATGGTGTTATTATTGTCACCTCAGAGACTCCCTGACGAGGCAGTTTGTACCAGGCTGTACGAGCTGTTTAGTCCTGGTCTAGTCCTGTTAGTCCTGGTCTAGTCCTGGTCTAGTCCTGTTAGAGTCCTGGTCTAGTCCTGGTCTAGTCCTGGTCTAGTCCTGTTTGAGTCCTGGTCTAGTCTGTTAGAGTTGATCCTGGTCTAGTACATCCTAAATCCTGGTCTAGTCCTGTCATCCTGGTCTATCCTTTTATAAGTCATCCTGGTCTAGTCCTGTTAATTTGCACTTTATCCTGGTCTATAATAATCCTGGTTAAGTCCTGGTCTAGTCTTATCCTGTTACAGAAGTCCTTTCCTGGTCCTGTTTCTTTCTCTCCACATTCTGCGGTGGTAACTGGACCCAACTGGACCCAACTGGACCCAACTGGACCCAGCTGGACCCAACTGGACCCAACTGGACCCAGCTGGACCCAACTGGACCCAACTGGACCCAACTGGACCCAACTGGACCCAGCTGGACCCAACTGGACCCAACTGGACATGTCTCTGAATCAGCACAGAGCGTCTGGGCATAGAAACTAGACTCAACACATGTTCAGTCCTAGTCCAGTCCTGGTCTGGTCCTGTTTTAGTCCTGGTCTGGTCCTGGTCTGGTCCTGTTTCAGTCCTGGTCTGGTCCTGGTCTGGTCCTGGTCCTGGTCCTGGTCTGGTCCTGGTCTGCCTGGTCTGTCCTGGTCTAGTCCTGGTCTAGTCCTGGTCTGGTCCTTTTCTGGTCTGGTCTGTCCTTGGTCTAGTCCTGGTCGGTCCTGGTCCTGGTCCTGGTCTAGTCCTGGTCTTGGTCCTGGTCTGGTCTGGTCTGGTCTGGTCCTGGTCTAGTCCTGGTCTGGTCCTGGTCTAGTCCTGGTCTGGTCCTGGTCTGGTCCTGGTACCTGGCTGCCACCCTGATGTTACAGTCCGGGTGCAGGTAACAGGGGCTCTTCCCCCCCAGCTCCAGGGTGACGGGCGTCAGGTGCGTCGCCGCCGCCTCCATCACCTGTCGTCCCACGGAGGCGCTGCCCGTGAAGAAGATGTGATCCCAGCGCTGACGCAGCAGCTCCTGAGTCTCTGCCACACCTCCAGGGACCACCGGGTACAAGTCCTGAGGAGAGACCGGGACTGAACCGGGACTGAACCAGGACTGAACCAGGACTGAGCCAGGACTGAGCCAAGACTGAGACCAGGACTGAGCCAAGACTGAACCAGGACGAGACGAGACTGAGCCAAGACTGAGCCAAGACTGAGCCAGGACTAGACCAGGACTGAGCCAAGACTGAGCCAAGACTGAGCCAGGACTAGACCAGGACTGAGCCAAGACTGAGCCAAACTGAGCCAAGACTGAGCCGGGACTGAGACAAGACTGAGCCAGGACTAGACCAGGACTGAGCCAAGACTGAGCCAGGACTGAGCCAGGACTGAGACCAGGACTGAGCCAGGACTGAGCCAGGACTGAGCCAGGACTGAGCCAGGACTGAGCCAGGACTAGACCAGGACTGAGCCAAGACTGAGCCAGGAACCGACTGAGCCGAGACTGAGCCAAGACTAGACCAGGACTGAACCAGACTCAGACGACTGAGCCAAGACTAGCCGGGACTGAGCCAAGAACTGAGCTGGGACTAGACTAGAGCCAGGACTAGACCAGGACTAGACCGGAACTAGACCAGGACTAGACCAGACTAGACCAGACTAGACTGAGACCAGAACTATAACCAGGACTAGACCAGGACTAGACCAGAACTAGACCAGGACTAGATCAGACAGACCAGGACTAGACCAGACTAGACCAGACTAGACCAGGACTAGACCAGAAACTAGCCAGCTAGACCAGAACTAGACCAGACCACTAGAACCAGAACTAGACCAGGACTGAACAGACTAGACAGGACTAAGACCAGGACTAGACCAGACTAGACCAGCACTAGACCAGAACTAGACCAGGACTGAACCAGAACTAGACCAGGACTAGACCAGGACTAGACCAGGACTAGACCAGAACTAGACCAGGACTAGACCAGGACTAGACCAGGACTAGACCAGGACTAGACCAGAACTAGACCAGGACTGATCCAGGACTAGACCAGGACTAGACCAGGACTGATCCAGGACTAGACCAGGACTAGACCAGGACTAGACCAGGACTGATCCAGAGTAAAATCCTACCAAGTCTTTCCAGATGTAAAAACCCTTGAGTTCGTCTGGACTCAGACTCTGACTCGACTGTGACTCTGACGAGGACTTTTAATGAAACCGGTTTGTTTGACTTTGACGATTTTTAAACATGGTCTAAACCAAGACTAGACCGAGACTAAACCAGGTCTAAACCAGGACTAAACCAGGTCTAAACCAGGACTAAACCAGGTCTAAACCAGGTCTAAACCAGGACTAAACAGTCTAAACAAGGACTAAACCAGACTAAACTATCAAAACCAGGACTAAACCAGAACTAAACCAGGACTACACAATGGTCCTAAACCAGGACTAAACCAGGGCTAAACCAGGACTAAATCAGGACTAAACTTGGACTAAACCAGGATTAAACCAGGACAAAAAACAGGACTAAACCAGGACTAAATCAGGTCTAAACCAGGACTAAACCAGGACTAAACAAACCAGGACTCTAAACCAGAACTAAACCAGGACTAAATCAGGTCTAATCCAGGACTAAACCAGGGCTAAACCAGGACTAAATCAGGACTAAACTTGGACTAAACCAGGGTTAAACCAGGACAAAAAACAGGACTAAACCAGGACTTAAACCAGTAAAAAAAACAGGACTAAACCAGGACTAAACCAGGTCTAAACCAGGACTAAACCAGGACTTAAACCAGTAAAAAAAACAGGACTAAAACTGGCCTAAAACAGGACTACAAATCATCCTAAACCAGGACTAAACCAGGACTACACAATGATCCTAAACCAGGACTAAACCAGGACTAAACCAGGTCTAAACCAGGACTAAACCAGGTTAAACAGGAACAAAAAACAGGACTAAACCAGGACTAAACCAGGGTTAAACCAGGACAAAAAACAGGACTAAACCAGGACTAAACCAGGACTAAACAGGACTAACCAGGACTAAACCAGGACTAATCCAAGACTAAACCAGGTCTAATCCAGGACTAAACCAGGACTAAACCAGGACTAAACTAGGACTAAACCAGGTCTAATCCAGGACTAAACCAGGACTAATCCAGGACTAAACCAGGTCTAATCCAGGACTAAACCAGGACTAAACCAGGACTAAACTAGGACTAAACCAGGTCTAATCCAGGACTAAACCAGGACTAAACCAGACTAAACTAAACTAGGACTAAACCAGGTCTAATCCAGGACTAAACCAGGACTAAACCAGGACTAAACCAGGACTAAACCGTGCAGTGTTCAGACCTTGTCCAGGTATCGGGGCAGCAGGGCTCTGAGGAGGAGGGAGGAGCACTCGCTGAGCTCCGACGGCTTCACCACCGCCGCGTTTCCTGAAACAAACAAACAAACAAACAAACAAACAAATAAAAATAACAAACTAAAACTACAGCTCTGTCCCCACGGCAACGGCTCTGTCACCACGGCAACAGATCTGGAGTCTTAAACCAGGGCTAATACTTCTGAAGAGGGTTTTACGACGTGTTCTGACCTGCAGCGATGGCTCCGACGAGGGGCCCCAGGGTGAGGGCCCAGGGGTAGTTCCAGGCCCCGATGATGAGGACGACCCCCAGAGGCTGAGGCTGGACGTACACCTGGTCCCGGAGCGTCAGGACCGAGCGCTCCACCGGGCGAGGGGAGGCCCACACCGACACTTTATCTATGGCCATTTTGATCTCGTTCTCCAGCCCCGTGAGCTCCAGCAGAGGAGTGTCGTACTGACTCTGACAGACCAGAGACACACACGGGTTAGACCTGGTTAGACCTGGTTTAGAACTGGATTTAGAACTGGATTAGAACTGGATCAGACCTGGATCAGACCTGGATCAGACCTGGATCAGACCTGGATTAGACCTGGATCAGACCTGGTTTAGATCTGGATTAGAACTGGATCAGACCTGGATCAGACCTGGATCAGACCTGGATTAGACCTGGATCAGACCTGGTTTAGATCTAGTTTAGACCTGGTTTAGACCTGGTTTAGATCTAGTTTAGACCTGGTTTAAACCTGGTTTAGACCTGGTTTGGACCTGGTTTAGTCCTGGGAAAGACCAAGTTTAGACCTAGTTTAGTCCTGGTTTAGACCTGGTTTAGTCTTAGTTTGGACCTGGTTTAGACCTGGTTTAGACCTGGTTTAGACCTGGTTTAGACCTAGTTTAGACCTGGTTTAGTCCTGGTTTAGTCTTAGTTTGGACCTAGTTTAGACCTAGTTTAGTCCTGGTTTAGACCTGGTTTAGTCCTGGTTTAGACCTGGTTTATTCCTGGTTTAGTCCTGGTTTAGACCTGGTTTATTCCTGGTTTAGACCTGGTTTAGACCTGGTTTAGGCCTGGTTTAGTCTTAGTTTGGACCTAGTTTAGACCTGGTTCAGACCTGGTTTAGACCTGGTTTAGTCCTGGTTTAGTCCTGGTTTAGACCTGGTTTAGTCCTGGTTTAGACCTGGTTTAGACCTGGTTTGTCCTGGTTTAGACCTGGTTTAGTCCTGGTTTAGACCTGGTTTAGTCCTCACTTGTCCAGCCTGAATCACACTTTGACAAACCTTTGCAAAGACGTGTGGGTCTGGAAACCGTTTCCTGTCTCCCGACTTCAGAGACCTGATTTTGGCCGGTTACGCAAGTTTAGTCCTGGTTTAGTCCTGGTTTAGTCCTGAGTTAGATCTAGGTCTAGTTCCGTTCTAGTCCTGGTTCTTACCCTGTTCAGGTTTGAGCGCTGTGGAGATTGTCTGGTCTTGGTCTGGTCTTGGTCTGGTCTTGGTCTGGTCTTGGTCTGGTCCTGGTCTGGTCTTGGTCTGGTCTTGGTCTGGTCTTGGTCTGGTCTGGTCTTGGTCTTGGTCTTTGGTCTGGTCTTGGTCTGGTCTTCTTGGTCTGGTCTTGGTCTTACCCGGTTCAGGTCTTGTTTGAGGGCGGTGGAGATGGTCTGGTCTTGGTCTGGTCTTGGTCTGGTCTGGTCTTGGTCTTGGTCTGGTCTTGGTCTTACCCGGTTCAGGTCTTGCTTTAGGGCGGTGGAGATGGTCTGGTCTTGGTCTGGTCTTGGTCTGGTCTTGGTCTGGTCTTGGTCTTACCCGGTTCAGGTCTTGCTTTAGGGCGGTGGAGATGGTCTGGTCTGGTCTTGGTCTGGTCTTGGTCTTGGTCTGGTCTTGGTCTTACCCGGTTCAGGTCTTGTTTGAGGGCGGTGGAGATGGTCTGGTCTTGGTCTGGTCTGGTCTTGGTCTGGTCTTGGTCTTGGTCTGGTCTTGGTCTTACCCGGTTCAGGTCTTGTTTGAGGGCGGTGGAGATGGTCTGGTCTTGGTCTGGTCTTGGTCTGGTCTTGGTCTGGTCTTGGTCTGGTCTGGTCTTGGTCTTACCCGGTTCAGGTCTTGCTTTAGGGCGGTGGAGATGGTCTGGTCTTGGTCTGGTCTTGGTCTGGTCTTGGTCTGGTCTTGGTCCTGGTTCTTACCCGGTTCAGGTCTTGCTTTAGGGCGGTGGAGATGGTCTGGTCTTGGTCTTGGTCTGGTCTTGGTCTTGGTCTGGTCTTGGTCTTACCCGGTTCAGGTCTTGTTTGAGGGCGGTGGAGATGGTCTTGGTCTTGGTCTGGTCTTGGTCTGGTCTGGTCGGTTCAGGTCTTGCTTTAGGGCGGTGGAGATGGTCTGGTCTTGGTCTGGTCTTGGTCTTGGTCTGGTCTTGGTCTTACCCGGTTCAGGTCTTGCTTTAGGGCGGTGGAGATGGTCTGGTCTTGGTCTGGTCTTGGTCTGGTCTTGGTCTTGGTCTGGTCTTGGTCTTACCCGGTTCAGGTCTTGCTTTAGGGCGGTGGAGATGGTCTGGTCTTGGTCTGGTCTTGGTCTGGTCTTGGTCTTGGTCTTGGTCTTGGTCTTGGTCTGGTCTTGGTCTTACCCGGTTCAGGTCTTGCTTTAGGGCGGTGGAGATGGTCTGGTCTTGGTCTGGTCTTGGTCTTGGTCTGGTCTTGGTCTTACCCGGTTCAGGTCTTGCTTTAGGGCGGTGGAGATGTCCGTTTCTCTCTCCTTGATCATCTTGAGCAGCGCGTGCAGTTGCTGGAGTCTGAACTCCAGGGGGCGCGTTCTCCCGCTCAGGAAGGCCTGCCGCGCCCGCGTGTTCGCCTGCCGCTCGATACTCCCACCTGAGACCCGACACACCTGGGTTAGACCTGGTTTAGTCCTGATAGAGTTTAGTCCTGGTTTAGTCCTGGTTTAGACGTGACGTGGCATAGACCAGGTTTAGTCCTCATACGGTTCTGATACACAGTTCAGACCTGGTTTAGACCTGGTTTAGACCTGGTTTAGACCTGGTTCAGACCTGGTTTAGACCTGGTTTAGACCTGGTTCAGACCTGGTTTAGACCTGGGTTAGACCTGGTTCAGACCTGGTTCAGATCTAGTGAAGTCTTGATACAGTCCTGATACAGAGTTTAGTCCTGGTTTAGTCCTGGTTTAGTCCCATTTTAGGCTTTGTTTAGTCCTGGTTTAGACGTGACGTGGCATAGACCAGGTTTAGTCCTCATACAGTTCTGATACACGGTTCAGACCTGGTTTAGACCTGGTTTAGACCTGGTTCAGACCTGGTTTAGACCTGGTTCAGACCTAGTTTAGACCAGGTTCAGACCTGGTTTAGACCTGGTTTAGACCTGGTTCAGACCTGGTTCAGACCTGGTTTAGACCTGGTTCAGACCTGGTTCAGACCTGGTTTAGACCTGGTTTAGACCTGGTTCAGACCTGGTTCAGACCTGGTTTAGACCTGGTTTAGACCTGGTTCAGACCTGGTTCAGACCTGGTTTAGACCTGGTTCAGACCTGGTTCAGACCTGGTTTAGACCTGGTTTAGACCTGGTTCAGACCTGGTTCAGACCTGGTTTAGACCTGGTTTAGACGTGGCATAGACCAGGTTTAGTCCTCATACAGTTCTGATACACGGTTCAGACCTGGTTTAGACCTGGTTTAGACCTGGTTTGGTGCCGATACAGTTCTGATACAGAGTTTAGACCTGGTTTAGTTCTGGTTTAGTCCTGATTCATTATTTGTTTTAGAACTTGTTTAGCCCTGCTACTTTAGACCTCTTTTAGTCCTAGTTTAGATCTGGTTTAGTCCTGATACAGTTCTGATACAGAGTTTAGACTTTGTTTAGTCCTGTTTTGGACCTGGTTTAGTCCTGGTTTAGTCCTGGTTTAGACCTGGTTTAGTCCTGGTTTAGACCTGGTTTAGACCTGGTTTAGACCTGGTTTAGACCTGGTTTAGTCCTGGTTTAGTCCTGGTTTAGACCTGGTTTAGTCCTGGTTTAGACCTGTTTCAGACCTGGTTTAGTCCTTGTTTAGTCCAGGTTTAGACCTGGTTTAGACCTGGTGTAGTCCTGGTTTAGTCCTGGTTTAGACCTGGTTTAGTCCTGGTTTAGTCCTGGTTTAGACCTGTTTTAGACCAGGTTTAGTCCTTGTTTAGACCTGGTTTAGACCTGTTTTAGACCTGGTTTAGTCCTGGTTTAGACCTGGTTTAGACCTGTTTTAGACCAGGTTTAGTCCTTGTTTAGACCTGTTTTAGACCTGGTTTAGACCTGTTTTAGACCTGGTTTAGTCCTGGTTTAGTCCTGGTTTAGACCTGTTTTAGACCTGGTTTAGTCCTTGTTTAGACCTGGTTTAGTCCTGGTTTAGACCTGGTTTAGACCTGTTTTAGACCTGGTTTAGTCCTGGTTTAGACCTGGTTTAGTCCTGGTTTAGACCTGGTTTAGACCTGGTTTAGTCCTGGTTTAGTCCTGGTTTAGACCTGTTTTAGACCTGGTTTATTCCTTGTTTAGTCCTGGTTTAGACCTGGTTTAGTCCTGGTTTAGTCCTGGTTTAGACCTGTTTTAGACCTGGTTTAGTCCTTGTTTAGTCCTGGTTTAGACCTGGTTTAGACCTGGTGTAGTCCTGGTTTAGTCCTGGTTTAGACCTGGTTTAGTCCTGGTTTAGTCCTGGTTTAGACCTGTTTTAGACCAGGTTTAGTCCGTGTTTAGACCTGGTTTAGTCCTTGTTTAGTCCTGGTTTAGTCCTGGTTTAGACCTGGTTTAGTCCTTGTTTAGTCCTGGTTTAGACCTGGTTTAGTCCTGGTTTAGACCTGGTTTAGTCCTGGTTTAGACCTGGTTTAGTCCTGGTTTAGTCCTGGTTTAGACCTGGTTTAGTCCTGGTTTAGTCCTGGTTTAGACCTGGTTTTAGACCTGGTTTAGTCCTGGTTTAGACCTGTTTAGTCCTGGTTTAGACCTGGTTTAGTCCTGGTTTAGTCCTGGTTTAGACCTGGTTTAGTCCTGGTTTAGACCTGGTTTAGACCAGGTTTAGTCCTTGTTTAGACCTGGTTTAGTCCTGGTTTAGACCTGGTTTTGGGGCCTTTCTCAGCACGTCTTTATTATTTCAGTCGTTGGTTCCGTCGGTTTCTCCCGTAAATAAACGGTCCAGAAAACTGTGCGTAACTCGTGCGTAAAGCGAAGTGACGCCAACAACAACAAACCAAACAAACTCCTCATGTCCTCCGCGTTATTTCATCTTAAAACCTCGTGACGAATTCAGATAAAAGTCGTTGTTTTTACCTGGAGGCATGGTGGAGCAAACCGCGAGATAAACCATCCACTTGTTTGTCGTGTCCCTGCTCCGTGCGTAAAACGTGCGTAAAAACGTCCTCCTCGCTCCGGCGCCCGCGATCCACTGACTCTCTGTGCGCTTTGTCCCGTGTTTATCAGACTGTGGCCGACCCCGGATCAGCTTTCCCCCCGCGCCCACGCACCCTGACCGGGGAACAGCCGGGACACGGGCCGGGGGAGAAAGAGCACCGTGACCCGGGGACCAGAGCTGATCCACGGGCCGGAAAAACGCACCGTGACCCGGGGACCAGAGCTGATCCACGGGCCGGAAAAACGCACCGTGACCCGGGGACCAGAGCTGATCTGGTTCAGTCCTGATACAGTTCTGATACAGAGTTTAGATCTGGTTTAGTCCTGTTTTAGACCTTGTTTAGTCCTGGTTTAGACCTGGTTTAAACCTGGTGGAGTCCTGCTTTAGACCTGGTTTGGACCTCTTTTAGTCCTGGTTTAGACCTGGTTTGGACCTGGTTTAGTCCTGGTTTATTCTTACTTAGTCCTTAGATTGATTCTATAGTCCACCATATCAACACCGCTTAGACCTGGATTAAGCCTGGATCAAACCTGGTTTGAACCTAGTTTAGACCTGGTTTGGACCTGGTTTAATCTTGCTGCTTTAGTCCTGGTTTAGACATCTTTTAGACCATGTTTAGTTCTGATTTAGACCTGGTTTAAACCTGTCTTAGTCCTGTCTTAGTCCTGGTTTAGACCTGGTTTAGTCCTGGTGTAGAGCTGGTTTAGTCCTGGTTTGGACCTGGTTTAGTCCTGGTGTAGAGCTGGTTTAGTCCTGGTTTGGACCTGGTTTGGACCTGGTTTAGTCCTGGTTTAGACATCTTTTAGACCATGTTTAGTTCTGATTTAGACCTGGTTTAAACCTGTCTTAGTCCTGGTTTAGTCCTGGTTTAGTCCTGGTTTAGACCTGGTTTAGTCCTGGTGTAGAGCTGGTTTAGTCCTGGTTTGGACCTGGTTTGGACCTGGTTTAGTCCTGGTTTAGACCTGATTTAAACCCGGGGAACAGAGCCGGAGAAGCGCACCGTGACCCAGGGAACAGAGCTGATCTGGTTTAGTCCTGATACAGTTCTGATACAGAGTTTAGATCTGGTTTAGTCCTGTTTTGGACCTGGTTTAGTCCTGGTTTAGACCTGGTTTAGTCCTGGTTTATTTTTACTTAATCCTTAGATTGACTCTACAGTCCACCGTATCAACACCGCTTAGACCTGGATTAAACCTGGATTAAACCTGGTTTAGTCCGGTTTTGGACCTGGTTTAGTCCTGGTTTAGACTGGAATTAGTTCTGGTTTAGTCCTGGCTTGGTATTTGTTTTAGACCTTGTTTAGTCCTGGCTTAGACCTGGTTTAAACCTGGTTTAGACCTGCTTTAGACCTGGTTTGGACCTGGTTAGATCCAATGTCTGTGTTCTTTTGCCCATATTAATCCTACGGAAGCCGAGAGGGTCACAACAAACGCAAACGCTGCAACAAACGCAAATGCGACAACACAACAAAAAGCCACAACACACAAAAAAAGCCACAACACAAAAAAAAAAAACCACAACACATTATTTTTAAAAACAACACAAACATCCACAACACATTAAAAAAGCCACAACAACACATTAAAAAGCCACAACAGAAGTGACCGCGGGACTCTATTTTCCGACGGCCCGATCAAGCGGCAAGTGAAGAAGAACAACTACAACGTGAAAAGTAAAGGAACGGAGAAGTTGGAAACGTAAGTAAAAGTAATTTATCGTTTTATCATTATTCGTTTCACGTTGTAGTTCTTCTTCTTCACTTGCCACTTGATCGGTCCGTCGTAAAATAGAGTCCCGCGGACACTTTTGATGTGTTGTGGCTTTTTAATGTGTTGTGGCTTTTTAATGTGTTGCGGCTTTTGCGTTTGTGTTGCGGCGTTTGCGTTTGTTGTGACCCCTCTCGGCTTCCGTACTGTAAGAACCAAGAAAAAAGAACTAGAAACGTAGCTAGTTTGATTGACAACCTAACAGCCAATAGATAAAGAGGGAGCCTCGTTTTCTATTGGCTGATGTTTCTCTGGTCTCACTACGTCCACAGTTGACAGATTTTCATTCTTTTTTTTTTTTTTTTGGTCATCGTAATTACAAGGCTGCTGCGTCTCTGTAACGGTATTTTAAACTTTCATTGACAATTTGAAACTAAAAAAAAAAATCCTCCGTACAACCTTTAATGAAGCTGCCAGTTGAGGACCTGTGTATTTCTCAAACTACAGACTCTAATGTACTTATCTTCTTGCTCAGTTTTGCAGCGCGGTTTCCCACTTCTCTTTTTACTCTGGTTAGAGCCTGTTTGCTCTTTCCTCTGAAGGGACACGCCGTTCTTGGAAATCTTCAGTTTCTTGGCAATTTCTCACACAGAACAGCCTTCATTTCTAAGAACGAGAATAGACTGTCGAGTTTCACATGGAACTTTTCTTTTTCTGGACATTTTGAGCGTTTAATCGGCCCCACAAATGTGACGCTTCAGATACTCGACCTGCTCAAAGGAAGGTCAGGTTTATAGCTTTTCTAACCAGTTAAACTGTTTTCATCTGTTCTAACGTGATCGCACAAGGGTTTTCTAATCATCCGTTAGACTTTTGACGCAATAAGCAAACACATCGAACCATTAAAACACCGGAGTGACAGATGCTGGAAATGGGCCCCTGTTGCACCAAAAAAAAAAAAACACACATTTGCAGCTAGAATAAAAGGAACTTTCTAAGTGACCCCAAACTTTTGAATGGTAGTGTAATCCTGGTTTAGACCTGGTTTAGACCCGGTTTAGTCCTGGTTTAGTCCTGGTTTAGTCCTGGTTTAGACCTGGTTTAATCCCGGTTTAGTCCTGGTATAGACCCAGTTTAGTCCTGGTTTAGACCCGGTTTAGTCCTGGTTTAGTCCTGGTTTAGACCTGGTTTAATCCCGGTTTAGTCCTGGTATAGACCCAGTTTAGTCCTGGTTTAGACCCGGTTTAGTCCTGGTTTAGTCCTGGTTTAGTCCTGGTTTAGTCCTGGTTTAGTCCTGGTTTAGACCCAGTTTAGTCCTGGTTTAGACCCGGTTTAGTCCTGGTTTAGTCCTGGTTTAGTCCTGGTTTAGTCCTGGTTTAGACCCGGTTTAGTCCTGGTTTAGTCCTGGTTTAGACCCGGTTTAGTCCTGGTTTAGTCCTGGTTTAGACCCGGTTTAGTCCTGGTTTAGACCCGGTTTAGTCCTGGTTTAGACCCAGTTAAGACCCAGTTTAGTCCTGGTTTAGTCCTGGTTTAGACCCGGTTTAGTTCTGGTTTAGTCCTGGTTTAGACCCGGTTTAGTCCTGGTTTAGTCCTGGTTTAGACCCGGTTTAGTCCTGGTTTAGACCCGGTTTAGTCCTGGTTTAGTCCTGGTTTAGACCCGGTTTAGTCCTGGTTTAGACCTGGTTTAGTCCTGTTTTAGTCCTGTTTTAGTCCTGGTTTAGTCCTGGTTTAGACCTGGTTTAGTCCTGGTTTAGTCCTGGTTTAGTCCTGGTTCAGTCCTGGTTCAGTCCTGTTTTAGTCCTGGTTCAGTCCTGTTTTAGTCCTGGTTTAGTCCTGTTTTAGACCTGGTTTAGACCTGTTTTAGTCCTGTTTTAGACCTGGTTTAGTCCTGTTTTAGTCCTGTTTTAGACCTGTTTTAGTCCTGTTTTAGACCTGGTTTAGTCCTGTTTTAGTCCTGTTTTAGACCTGGTTTAGTCCTGTTTTAGACCTGGTTTAGTCCTGTTTTAGTCCTGTTTTAGACCTGGTTTAGTCCTGTTTTAGACCTGTTTAGACCTGTTTTAGTCCTGTTTTAGACCTGGTTTTAGACCTGTTTTAGTCCTGTTTTAGACCTGGTTTAGACCTGTTTAGTCCTGTTTTAGACCTGGTTTAGTCCTGTTTTAGTCCTGTTTAGACCTGGTTTAGTCCTGTTTTAGACCTGGTTTAGTCCTGTTTTAGTCCTGTTTTAGACCTGGTTTAGTCCTGTTTTAGACCTGGTTTAGACCTGTTTTAGTCCTGTTTTAGACCTGGTTTAGTCCTGTTTTAGACCTGGTTTAGACCTGGTTTAGTCCTGTTTTAGACCTGGTTTAGACCTGGTTTAGTCCTGGTTTAGTCCTGTTTTAGACCTGGTTTAGTCCTGTTTTAGACCTGGTTTAGTCCTGTTTTAGACCTGGTTTAGACCTGGTTTAGTCCTGTTTTAGACCTGGTTTAGTCCTGTTTTAGACCTGGTTCTTGTCTCTGGTCTTAAAGTATTTAGATAAAAAACAGAAGAACCTGACCTTCATCGTTCTCAGACATGTTCAGAGCAGATCCTGTGTGAAGTCCTTCACTTCTCTTTCTTCTCTTTCTCTTCCTTCTTCTCTTCTCTTCTTCTCTTCTCTTCTCTTCTCTTCTTCTCTTCTCTTTTCTCTTCTCTTCTCTCTCTTTCTCTTCCTTCTTCTCTTCTCTTTCTCTTCTTTCTTCTCTTCTCTTCTCTTCTTCTTCTTCTTTTCTTCTTCTGCTTGACTCTATTTATTTTCCACTTATTTCACAACAAAACTTTATGACTCGTTTATAACGTCACAGATAAAACAGACAATCTTTTACTACACCAGCAGTAGAAAAGTACTAACAGTAGTACAAGTACAACAAGTACTGGTAGCAGTAATAATAAGAGTAGTATAATAGTAAGGGGGGGTGTAGTAGTAGTAGTACAAGTAGTAGTAATAGTAGTAGTAATAGTATTTATAGTAATAGTTGTAGTAGTAGTAGCAGTAGTAATAGTAGTGATAGTAGTTGTAGTACTACTACTACTAGTAGTAGTAGAAGTAGTAATAGTAATAGTAGTAGTAATAGCAGTAGTAGTAGTAGTAGTAGAAGTAGTAGTAGTAGTAGTAGTAATAGTAGTAGTCGTAGTAGTATTAGTGGTATTAGTAGTAGTAGTAGTAGTAATAGTAATAGTAGTAGTCGTAGTAGTATTAGTAGTAGTAGTAGTAGTAGTAGTAGTAATAGTAGTAGTCGTAGTAGTATTAGTGGTAGTAATAGCTGTAGTAATAGTAGTAACCATAATAATAATAGTAGTCGTAGAGTAATAGTAGTAGTAATAGTTACAGTAATAATAGTAGTTGTAGTAATAATAGTAGTAGAAATGAGCAGTACATTTACTTTTGAATGAAACTGTACTTTTCTAGCTGCATAATTACATTTTTTTAATTGTAAAAGGAGCTGTTCACAACTACCACTTCATGACATCACAAGGTGGAACATGGAGCGTTTTGAGTTTTGCAGATGTAAAGAGACTCATAATAAAGATTTACTCAAACATGTGAATGAAACAAAACACAAGTCCAGCTCTGTTTTTGACGAGGAAACGACATTAAAACACGACTTAATGTTCCGGTTAAAGTAGCAGTAGGTCTTACAAAATGAAGTCATATAAAACCAAACCAAAACAAAACCTGAACCAAAACAAAACCCAAAACAAAACAAAACCCAAAACCAAAACAAAACCCTAAACAAAACAAAGCCAAAAACCAAAAACCAAACCAAAACCCAACCCAAAAACCAAAAAACCAAACCCAAAAACCCAAACCAAAAACCAAAAACCCAAACCAAAACCCAAAAACCCAACCCAAAAACCCAAAAACCAAACCCAAAAACCCAACCAAAAACCCAAACCAAAAACAAAAAAACACATTAAAAGTTTTAAGTTGTTTTCAATCATCTTTATTTATCACTTTTTATGTTATGCAAATGTTTAAATCAAGTTTTACAGTTTGCACAGTTATCACATTTCTGTCAATATTCCCAAATAAAGCTGCAGTGTGTAACTTTTCCGTTGTGTCGGGGCGTCCGTCACCTGCTTGTTTCTATGGATACGTCACCGCTCTGTCCGGAATGTTCCGCAGTGCGACTTTAAACCGCTCTACTTTACATATTTACTCAATCACAGGTGCAGGTTTTACAGCTCAAAAACACTTCGAAAAACAGACGTTCTGACTGTGAGCGGGGTCGCCTCTCCACAGATCTGACCTGTAAACTGGTCCAGGTTTGGTCTCCGTGAAGATAGAAAGGTTTAAAGCCATACTGCGGAACATTCTAGACAAAGTAATAACAGAAAAAAGAAGAAAAGCGATTGGCGGACCTTCCGGCGGAAACTCTACACAACACAATGCACTTTTAACATATTTGTGTAAAACTATGATAAAAAGTGGCGTTCCTTTCACAGTTTCTCCAGTTTTGCAGTCGAGAACATGATTCCGATGAAAATATTAATAAAATAAAATGCCCGAAGGTATCTCGGTTCATCCGGCTGTAAAAGTCCATGGAAAGTTTCAGAGGTTAAAACGACGACTGATAACGAGGATCTTAATACAGCGATAACAACACAGAGGATTAACCTTTATGTAAACGTCTCGCGCCGTCCGATGCTGAGCTCACGTTTTATAATCTCTCTCGTTTATTTAACAAGACAGAAAATAAAAATGTTAAAAATGTTAAAAATATTAAAGGGGCTCTGTTCTAATGTGGTTTCCTCATCAAAAACAGACCTGGAGATGTGTTTTGTTTCATTAACACCGTGCGAATTAAGGCTGAGTTCTTCTCTCAAATAAACAAAAAACCCACTCTGTTCCACTTTGTGATGTCATGTGGTCATAGAGGAAGAGCTCCACTGTGTTTTTAAACGCCACACCCCTTCACTAGAATCATTTGGATCATTTAATTTCAGTTGTGGAATTGCCAAACTCTGCTGAACTCAAGGTAAAGAGCGTTTTGAACTTTTGAGATGCAGACAAACTAATAATAAAGAGTGACTCAAACACGTGACAGTGAAACAAAACACAACTCCAGGTCCGTTTTTGAGGAGGAAACAACATTAGAACATGCAGGGTTTCTGCTCTTTTTCACTGACAAAATTTCAAAATTTTTCCATAACTTTTCCAAGACCTAAAGTGAATTTTCCATGACTTTACAGCACCTACGTGTGTAGAATTGATCAGACTTTTAGGGCTAAATGTGGAATGGGAACTCTTTCCACTAGGGGTGTGCTAAAATATCTAAATATCACTATACCTCATAGTTTAATATGATGATACTGTTAGAATAATTCTTTTATCCCATATTTGCTAAATGCTTGTGTGTTAATCTAGACTATATGTTAACCATTTATGTACTACAATTCTTTGATTTAGAGTGTACCAATCAATTGTTAGGAATGTGAATAATCTCTCTTGTGCTTAACACCTGTGTGCAGTGGCCTATCGTTCTTGTGAACCCCGAGATGACCTCTCACGTGAAGCCAACCCCCACTGTCACACTCGCAAGAGTTACGACGGTGTCTGTTCATACCAACGGCACCCCCTGATTGTTTATCATGTTTTATGATTTAAGCCTGTGTTGTGTTTGCAAATCCCCCTTCCCTTTGAGAATCATGTGTCTGTAACCAGGGCCCTCTAATGATAATAAAAGGAGGAGAACGGCCTTGGGTCGGCAGAACGTGTGGAGACTGTTGCACTGAAAGCCACTCTCTGCCCGTTCTCCTCATGAGAAAAACTTAATTAATCTCTTGTCTTTCTTCTTGTTTTAAATGTCTAGATAAACCTAACATTTACTTGGTCCTTCGTATGCTGGTGCCCAAAACACCTGAGGACTCCAGCGGACGTTAAGAATCCAGAAAGACCGTGGCCACGGCCCTCTGCTACGAGGTGACATACCCTTTCCGGGCTGGTTCTCTTCTCGCCAGTTGGAGTCTGAAGGTTGACGGGTGAACCGAGGGAGAAAGACAACTGACTGTGAGTAGGCCTTTTGTTAAAAAGCGAGTGACTGGGGGTCATTGCGCGTAGAGAAACCCTATAAATCCTAGGCTCTAATAGGTGAAAGGGCGGCGGAGCCCCACTACTAGATGTAATTTGACAGGCTAGTGAGTAAAAGTCCGTTAATACAGGATGGCGGAGTCCTTCTAGGGTTAAATTCCGTTGGCGCAGAGAAAATAAGAAAATAATAAAAACTGAGTGTGAATGGTTGTGTGACTGGAAGATAATAACCACTAGGTTGTTGTCCTCATACCAATCGATTGAGAAAGGAAATAGTGAGTCTTTGTGGATGTACAGACAAGATTTCTCCACCTTGACAGGTTGAAGTGAGAAATACCACAAAGATAATTTAATCACTATCTCAATCAAGAAAAGTTAAACCGGTTCTTAGAGACCTCCCTAGGAGTGATAGGACTGGTCCAAATTATTCTAATATGGGTAATAAACTTTCTACTGAGAGACCTAGAGATAGGCTGAAATGCAAGGATTTTAAAGTTCTTGAAAATAATGACAAGGGTAACGTCAAATATTTGGATAAATGGATAACAAAATACAATTTTGAGGGGCGACTTAATGTGGCAGACCTTGAGGCACTGCGCGCCCAGATTATTGAAAAATCCAAACATAATGAAAGGAAGATGCGCAAAAATGGCATTAGAGAGTTAGACAATTGGTTAGACACAGCCAGACTTAAAGAGAGCCGTCTGAAAAGAAAGCAGGAAAATAAAGAAATTCTATCGAAAGCCGACACAATGCTTTTCCAAAACAAAGACGACTATGAGACAGTTGTTGTTATCAGACGCCCACTACAACCACCTGCACAACAACTACCACATGATGTGGCTACTCCAGTGAAGGACAGCCCTGCTGCAAGTGCTGCGTCCCGTGCTGCGTCTCCTCCGCCTTACGACCCCGACACTTCAGACACAATATACCCTGACCTAGAACCGCTTATGTGTACGCAGGCAGGGGTCTCCACTCGCAGCGCGGCGACGAGACGATATCAGTGGTCCAAAACAATGGGGGGAGGGTTAGAGGAACACTTTCCCACAGCACCTGAGCCAGAGGCCTCCACATCGCAAGGCCAGACAGCGGTCACTAAAACTGACCTCTTCGATATGATAGCTGTGGCCAACCCTCGATCAGGTGACGAAGACCAGGGTGACATTATATTTGTATACAGAACTTGGACAGCTGAGGATGTAAAGAAGGCCGTAGAAGGCATTACACCTTACAAAGACGATGTAAATCAGTTCTGTATTGAAATGGAGGCTCTCAGAGACTCCTATAAATTAAATGGTCTTGAGACGCAGCAGGCCTGGATGGCTGCGCTGGGCTCCAATTGGAGCCATGTCAGAGGTGACTGGGATCCCTCAGGAACTGATGGTAAATCCCTTAAACATGATGCTCAGGACTTGACTGTCAGAATACACGCCCTGGCAGAGAGAACTAAAACTAGATACAAGAAACTGGCTAATTATGGTGAAATTTCCAGAACCAAACAAAAAGAAGATGAAAAACTTGAGGACTTCAAAATTAGAATGACCAAAGTGTTTAAAACACACTCGGGATTAGAAGAAAGTGATGATGCGCAG